CAGGGAGTGTATCATTTCAAAATATCAAAATATCCGTTACATAAAAAGAAAACAACTTGAGGTTTTTTCGAATACGAGGCGACTCAAAATTGAACATGCAGGAATAATCGTGGATTCACTAGACCAAGATGTTTTTATGTAAGGACATTGACAGGGGATGAGATTTAGGACAAGTTTAAGCCTCATTTTAACTTCAGAAATCAGGACTTAGGTTCTATTGGGGGAAGCAACCCAAAATACTGCCTCAAAAGTTGTGATTTGCAAATCATAATACTTCAACATTTCGAATCTGCAAGAGACACTCTCATGATATTATTACTATAAACTGCAGATTCATGACCTCGACAATTGACCATTGGAGACGAAGCAATTAAGAATTGGATTGATCTGTTTGATAAATTTTTGATACACCTTTTTTTGTTGAGCGCATCCTTGCACTAGTTTGAACGAAAACGAACGAGGTGAGAAATTTTTCATAAAACTTCTGGAAATTCAAATCTTTCAGCCGATTTTTTACATGCCCAAATTGATATACGTTGGGATAGCTCGATGAGGAGAACAAAATGAAAATGCAATGCAAAATTGTTTGGCATTGAAGAGATTTCATCATTCAGCAGCGGCTTTTCTGCTTATTTTTTACTGTTCTGTTCGACATTACTGCCTTTATTTTCTTGCTTTGCTTTATCTTTATCCTTATCATTGGGATTTGTAACTTTTTTATTTGGGTTTATCGCTTCCAATTTATTCGCATCCGTTTGCGTTGTTGTACCCTACAAAGGTAAACGGCTACTGATTGCAAAATCGTTGAACTTATCTTATTCGGACTCATGTTAGCCATACTCTCCAAGCAAAACCAGTTGCACTATAAAAATGAAAACAAGTAAAAATGTGCAATTTGCCTACGGAAATTAGTTTTACGGAAAAAGTGCTCATAACAGTGACTGAGAAGACCATAAATGAATACCGAAAATTACTCATCAGATATCATATTAACGTTTAGCAAGAACTAAACTTCCCCATACAGACTGGAAATTTTGCTTAAATGCTGGAGTTTTGGGTGGTATTTTCATTGAAGCCTCCTGGACATATTCATCAATTTCAGCTGCTCATATTGTTGATTTGATTTGTACACAACTGCGGTGCTTATCTTCAAGTGTTGAACAGCGGTGATACTAACTAACCTCAAGATAGGTCGGTCCTCCAGTAAAATATGAACTATCCAGAATCGGTGCCTTGTAGCATTCGTCACGTTTGTGTCGATACTTAACAATTCCCATATAGGCAAGAACGGATCGCAACACAGAAATGGCGATCACTTCGAGTAGAATTATTATCAAAGGTACTTGAACGTACTAAAAAATCTTACGGATAGCTTGTCGGATAAGATCGAATTCATTGTCAGCTCAGAAAAATACAGCTAATTTTTGGTTACGACAGCTGAATTAGCTCTCGAAGCGTAATAAGGATGAAATCATGATTTTATAAATCGCAGCGTGAACTGCATCGACTAGCAGCATTGTCAAAGCAAGGTGAATTCCAAGAAAGGGGAGGCAAAATGAGTTAACTAAATTTATTTCAGATAGATATTCTGAATTCAGAATAGCTTTCCACGACTGCAGTCCTATTCCAGAAGGTCTGGTGAGATTCACTGGAATCTTCCAGATTTCTGATGACCTGAGCATTTCTCTTGAACAAATATTTCACAGTTTCAAAGTCGAAGTTTCAAAGTTCAATACCCATTTCTCCACAAAATTATCCATATCGATTTCAGCCGCCATATTTCGATCAAGTCAAATGATCAAACTTTTGATCAGCAGTCGTTTCTGGTTATCGAAGCGTAACAACGACGTTTAACTAACCAAACCACTTATAATAGAAAATAATGGCAAAATGAAGTAAATTTCGTAAAAGTTTCAAACACTCAATCGCACCACAACGAAATTTGTATAATTTCATTTCAATATCTAGGATTTCAGTTCAAAGAAAGTTTTTCTTCTTTCATTGTCAGCAACTTCCTGAAAATTTTACATTCACATACTAACTGAATCGTTAGATTTGAGAACAGTTTTTAACCTCTACTGAAATGAGTGCCGCCAAGCAAGTGAGATACCTTCAGAAAATCAGCTATTTCTCTCAAGATAAGCAGAATTGCCCAACTAAATATATGCTTTTCTGAAAGTAGAGAATCTGGGGAATCTGATGGTGTGGAGAAACCAACACGTTACCAGGCAAACCTGAGAGGAACGATCTTTTGAAGATGGTGGCCCTCATTCCGCAGCGCCTATGTATGTATTGATCAATAGAGATACAGTGTATCGATTATGATCACCTAATAACGGTCAAGTCAAAAATATCTCTATCATTAATCGCTATCAGAATACAGAATCTTTAATAACTGTACGTGAGTAACTAAATGAGAATCAATATGTCTACCTTTCGTTTCCAGATTTATAACTAAGGAAACGTCGTAATGTTCACAGCAATTGCCAGATCTCCTTGTTCACAAGCGAGTGAATGAAATTAATCAACGATAATTAAAATTAAGGTAACTGAGGAAAAACAATATTTATACATTACTTCATAACATTACACTGCTACAATGAAACACGATGTTATAATAAATTGCTTTCAGAGTAATCA